TCTCTCTCTCTCTCTCTCTCTCTCTCTCTCCCTCTCTCTCTCTCTCTCCCTTCCTTCCCCCCTCCCTCCCTCCCCTCCTTTCTTACATAGGTATCATAAAGCCTACTCTGGCTTCAAACTTACTTTCCTTTCTTTTTTCCTTTTTAAAAATCTCTGTGAGTGTGTATTGGGTGTGTGTGTATGTGCTTCAGTGTGTCTATGGAGATCAGTGAACGACCATGATAGTATTGGTCTAGGCAGTGGTGGGGTAGGCCTTTAATCCCAGCACTTGGGAGGCAGAGGCAGGTGGATCTCTGTGAGTTTGAGGCCAGCCTGGTCTACAGAGGTAGTTCCAGGACAGCCTCCAAAGTTGTAGAGAAACCCTGACTCAAAAAAAAAAAAAAAAGTATTGGCCTATAGGAAGGGGAAATAGACATGATTTCCTGAAACCTTCATCCAGTAAGTGATGGAAGCAGATGCAGAGATTCACAGCTACCCACTGGACCAAGCTCCTGGAGTCTAGTCAAAGAGAGGGAGGGGTGATAATATGAGCAAAGGGGTCAAGACCATGATGGGAAAACCACAGAAACAGTTAACTAGTGGGAGCTCACTGACTCTGGACTGACAACTGGGGAACCTGCATAGGACTGAACTAGGCCCTTGAATGCCTGTGACAGTGGGGGGCCTGGGCATTTGTGGGGTCACTGGCAGTGACCAGGAGCTGTCCCTAATGAATAAACTGGCTTTTTGGAGCCCATTTCCTATGGAGAGATACCTTGCTCAGCCTAGATGGGAGGGAGGGGGGCTAGTTGTGCCTCAATGTGATGATACATGAGAGGCCTTACTCTCTCTGAGGAGCAGACGGGTAGGAGTGAGGTGAGGGCTGGGTGGAGGGAGTGGGAAGAGGGGAGGGAGGCAGAACTGGGATTATTATGTAAAAAATAGAGTATTGGTCTAGCTGGGTGGGGGTGGTTTTTCTCCATCTCCTTGAGGCAGGGTCTCTCTTGTTTGCCATCATGGTGAGGACTCCAGGCAAAATGGCCTGAGAGCTTTGGGGGCAGGGTGGAATTCTGCTGTCCCCACCCCCTTGTCTACACAGGAAGGCTAAGATTACAGACCTACGCCAAACCATGACATCCAGATCTTATTCGGGTTCTGGAGATCCATACTCAAGTCACCAACTCGGGTCCTCTGGAAGAGCAGCAGCCATTGCTCTTAGCCACTAAGCCATCACTCCAGCCCAAGGAGTCTTTCTTAACTTACAGATCCCATGAAGGTCAATAAAGACAGACTTTTTATTTATTTACTTATTTGAACATAATCCCACTAGGTAGCCTGCTTAGCCTGGAACCTGCTACACAGACCAGGCCGGCCTCTAACTCACAGAGATCCGGCTGCCTCTGCCTCCCTAGCACTGGGATAAAGGTTTGCTACTCCAGGCCCATTTGGTGACCAGACTTTTGAAGAATATCCAATCCTACCGTCATATACAGACAAGGAGCCAAGGGCCTGAGAAGGAAGCACCTCATCCCAGGTCAGAGCCAGTGGGGGTAGAGCTCAGGCCAGCTTCCCACCTGACCGAGGTAAGAGTTGGTACGGAGAGCAATGGTAATGGCGTTGGTCACCAGCAGCAAGGCCAATAGCATCTGGAAGGCGGGATGCCGAAGCAACTGCTTGACGTACATGGTAGTGATGAACTCCTCAATGTCCCAGGCATCCTGGGAGGGGATGGAAACCTTCCTTCAGGCAGGCGTCACCACAGGCAGCCTCTACCTGGACTATTGACGCCCTATTCCCTGACGATGGGAGTACCCCTGGGGGTCTGGGTGGTGTTGCTGAGTTCATGAAATGTTTGTTTCAGTAAAGAATTCACAACAAATGGTCATCAAAAGAGGGTGACGAGTGGGGACCTTTGGGGTCTTGGGGGTATCTGCTGGTGAGTAGCTACCACATTATAGGGGTTCCTGTGAGGGGTCACTTCCTCCCTGAGGACATTTAAAGGGCAGGGGCTGCAGGAGGGAATTATGGGATGGAGGTCACCTGGGTCACCACCAAGCCTGTCCCCATCTTCTTCCTTTCCTTACCTTCTTATCTGTGATGTCCCTGCGGTTGATAAGCACTTGCTCCTCACGCCGGCCCATGAATTCATAGGTGTTTTTCTACAGGGATAGGAGCAGGCCTTCAGTGTGGTCACTGCCCCTGTCCAACCCTGCTTGGTGGCAGCGCCAGGCAGACACTCCCTACCGTTGTGTTCGAGTGTTGGGCAGTGCCAATTTCTGGCTGATGCCACCAGTTTTGGTTTTCAGACATCTTGGCTCTGTCCCCTTCTCTTCAAAGAAGCTTTGCAGGCAGTCTCTGTCCCCCTTGTGGTGAGATCACAGAGGCAGCTGCTAGCCACAGCCTTCTGCATTCCACCAAGACATTCCAACTTGATTAAAAAAAAAAAAAAAAAAAAAAAGCTTCCACTTGATACCTCACAAGGGAACCAGGTATTCAGCCACCAGCTTCAGGATGGGGTCAGAGGTTAGAGGCCTGTGGGACTAGCTCTGGGTTCCCATGCCATCTGAATACAGTGAATAGTGGTCCCCTTTCTGGATCCAGGTACTAGAGGTAAGGCTGGATGGAGGGGAAGACATGCCCAGGACCCCTCACCTTCAGCTGCCTATCCCACAGCTGCCCACCCGACCCTTCCAGGAAGGTAAATTTTCTCATTTACTAAGTGAGTGTCCCACCTTGGGGCTAGGACAGGGGAGCAGGTCTGACCTCCCGGGACTAAGGAGAGACTGGCAGAAGGATGCATGACCACAGAGCCCAGCATCCTGGCATAGGAGTCCTGAGTGTATTCCTCAGGGTGATGAACTACACAGGGTGCCTGTGACAGTGTTCACTCTAGCATGACAGTTCTTCACCCGTGTGTGGTGTGTGTGTATGTGTGTGTTTGGTGTGTGTGTGTGTGTGTGGTGATGTGTGCACAGTGTGTGTGTGTGTGTGTGTGTGTGTGGTGTGTATGGCGTGTGGTGTGTGTGTGTGTGGTATATGTGTGTGGTGATGTGTGGTGTGTGTGTGTGTGTGTGTGGGTGTGTGTTGTGTATGTGTGTGGTGTATGTGTGTGGGGATGTGTGGTGTGTAGTACAGTGTGTGCGGTGTGGTGTGTGTGTGTGTGGTGTGTATTGTGTGTGTGTGGTGTATGTGTGTGGTGTATGTGTGTGGTGATGTGTGGTGTGTAGTACAGTGTGTGCGGTGTGGTGTGTGTGTGTGGTGTGTGTGGTATGTGTGTATGGTGTGTGTGTGGTGTATGTGTGTGGTATGTGTGTGTGTGGTATGTGTATGTGTGTGGTGTGTGTATGTGTATGGTGTGTGTGTGGTGTATGTGTGTGTGTGTGTGGGGTGTATGTGTGTGTGTGTGTGGGGTGTATGTGTGTGTGTGTGTGGGGTGTATGTGTGTGTGTGTGTGGGGTGTATGTGTGTGTGTGTGTGGGGTGTGTGTGTGTTATGTGTGTGTGTGGTATGTGTATGTGTGTGGTGTGTGTATGTGTATGGTGTGTGTGTGGTGTATGTGTGTGGTGTGTGGTGTATGTGATGTATGTGTGTGGTGATATGTGGTGTGTGTGTGGTGTATGTGTGTGTGTGTGGTGTGGTGTGTGTGTGTGGTGTGTACAGATTCTGAATTCTAAAGTAAAGACACATAGGTTGATTTTGGAGAAATCAACTTTATTTCCTCATGTAAAATAAATATCCAGGTAGACCTGGTCTGGGAAACTGTTTTGAAGGACCCAGGGAGACAGGGATGTCCCAGACTGAGGATATGTTAGGGGATTTCTACATCAGAGGAGGAGGGCTGCTTTCCCTCCACGCCAGTGGACGTGAGCAGAAACTGTGGAAGCCCAGGACGGGGTGGGGGGGCAGTTTGGCGGTAAAGCCAAGAACACGCACTTCCAGACTCACACAGACCCCATGGGCATGCTGTCTTAGACATGTCAGAGGCTGGGGATGAAGTAGCCCTTAGGGTCAGAGGTCAGGAACCAGGTACTAGCCAGGGTCAGAGGTCAGGAGGTTGGAGGATGTTCTCTGGGGCCAATGGGACAAGCTGGGAGGGCCCCTCAGGGTCAGAAGGCAGGGGCTGTGGAGACTGACCACTGGAGTCAGAGGTTGGGGCTGGGGAGCTGTTCTGGGCCCGCATCCCTCCCCAGGTACTCAGGCCCTCTGAGTACAGCTCCTGGTTCTGTTCCTTCCACTGGCGGAACTTTGCTCCCGTGAGATCAGGGTCACCCAGCACTTCATCCAGGGCCTGCAGTTCCTGCAACTTTGCCTGAGGTGAGAGTAGGGAGCACAGCTCTATGGTTACCCAAGGAGACAGAACCCAGAACTAACTCTTAAAGTCCTGTGCCCAGCACCAGGATACCCTGGTCCAAGAGTCGGGTGACTATCTGGTCTCTGCACACAGAACATTCTAGAACTTGACTCAAGACACAGTTGAGCCTCCAATGGAGTATGGAGACCAGAACTGGGCCTCAGAATCAGAAAGCTAGGGCTAGAGCCTTCAGTCTACAGTCTGGAGCTCACAGTAGAGCTGGGAGCCAGACACCAGGACCTGAAGCCCAGAGCCTCATCCTTCCCATGCCTGGTGCTCCCAGCTCACCTTGAGTGTGCTCTGCAGTGCCCGCACGCGGTGTACTCGCTCATTGAGATGAGGGTCACGGTTTCGACGCATGAAAGAGCTCCGCCACTGCTCATGGGTCAGGGGCTGTGGCTGCCCCAGGAGGGACACACCCCCCTGCCTCAGCCCCTGAACCATTCCTTCCAGTGCCCTGTCACTGCTGTCTGTGGGAGTAGGAAGCCAATGAGAACACAGAACATAATCAGGCCACCTCTGCAGCCCAGTGCTCTGCTCCCAGGGTAGCACCTGCTGAAGAGCCAAAAGATGTCCTTGGACTCTGCAAGGGTGAAGCCACGGGTGATGTGTCACTCCAAGTTGGAGCTGGACCAGGCTGTGTCAAAGCAGAAGGAGAGAGAGGATTAGCCGCAGCCCTCCACATCCTGCTATCCAGCCCCTACCTCCTTATCCGAAGTGACTCTACTCACTGAAGCTGAGCGGGACCCAGCTTCCTCGTCAGGGTCTTCGGCTTCCGTCTCACTGTAGCAATCTAGGGTGAGGAGTTGGAGAACCACTGAGTGGCTCTGGAGAGGCCAGGAAGTGGGCCAGAGGATCTAAGTTCCAGCACCTAGCCTGGGAAAGGCAGGAACTCAGTGATGGCTGGGCCCCTTCTTCTACTCTGTGACACACTCACCTTCCTTTCTGGCAGAGGGGGCCCGGCCTGGAGTCTGGTACTTGGAAATGCAGGTAATGAGATGACGCACCCACCTGTAGAGGAGCATGTGGGTCGTGAGGCTTCTCTTCACTACAGCCCACTTATCCCTCAGCTTGTCATCCTTTACCTACATCATCACCTTCTTTTTCCCCTGAACTTTTTTGTATGGTGCTGGAGCCTGAGTGTAAGGAAGTGCTCCACACTGAGCCACAGCCTCTGCTCTCCTTCCCATTTTCTTGAGACAGTGTCCTACTATATTGCTCTGGTTGGCCTGAAACTCCCAATGTAGCCCAGGCTGGCCTCACCCTTGCTGTCTTCCTAAGTGCTGGAATTAGAGGGGTGAGCCACCATGTCACAGATCCACAGATCTGACCCTCAAGAGCAACTGAGGTAGGAATTCTCCTTTGCTCATTCTGCAGATGGTGAGACTGAGGCTTTCCCAGGGCTGGGGTTTGAGTCCCCTGAGCCCAGCACTTAAGCAAGTGGAGGCTGGGGACTACATGGGAGCAGGGAAGAGGGAGTGGCACTCACATGCTCAGATCAGACAGGGTCTCAGCAGCAAAGACGAAGGGCTTGTACACGTCATGGGTCAGCTGGAACACACTGCCGGCAAGCAGAAAGAAGTCACAGCCTCCTCTGGGCATGCCCATCCAGAACTCGGAGAGAGGCTACAATCCCCACCTCCTGCCACATGTCCACCCTGCCCCGCCCTTCCTCTCCCCTTTTCTCCCCATCCTGTCCCATTCCAAGACTTAACTATTTTTTCTTCTGGTCATGTCCACTCTCCAGGCTGTAGTTGGAGAGGTTGATGAGCCCTTCGGCCTTTTCATCCTGGGGGAAATCACAGCACGAGGGTCAGCACAGGGCCCCAGGGCAGCATGGGAGCCAAGTCCTCAAGGCTCAGTCAGCTCCCTAGTTACCTCTCTGGGTTTCTGGAGCTCAGGGCAGGAGGTATGGCCAAAGCACACCTCTGAGCAGGGAGAGGAGAGCAAAGGTATCCAGAAAAACAGCCAAAGGGGAGGAGCCTGCTCAGACAGGCCCTCTCCCAAGAGCTGCTTTGTGTCCCAAAGCCTTTTCCCTTCCTGGTTTTTCTTTTCCCTTTCACCTGACAAACATCCAAATACGGCTTTTCCAAAGAAGCTTCTAGACTCCTTGGACTAGATCATACAACTCTAGATCAGGCTCCCACACATCACCTGGGATTCCCTTCATGCTAGCACATGGCCCATTGTCTTAAATGATGTATTCAGCCCTTTCTCCCATGGGCCTCTAAGTTACTATCCAAATCTTCCCAGTGTCCCCAGGGCTCTGGCTCAGAGCTGGGTCCAGTGGGCACCTGGATGTCTACTGCGAGAATAAGTGATTGAGTGGCCATCACTAGGATGGATAGAATAGCAGAAGAGAGGAGAGGTAGGGAGGGCAAAAATGATTTTCCCTACACTTAAATGTTTTGTATTCATATATTTATTGTGTACGTGTATGTGCATGCCTGCCCACACATTCCCTAAGACACATGGAGATCAGAGGACAACTTGCCAGACCATATGGATTATGGGTATTACACGCAAGTCATTAGACTTGGTGACATGCACCTTTACCTACTGGCCCTTTTTTTCTGAGACATGAGTCTCACTCTGTTGTTTGGGCTGGCCTGAAACTTGCTAAGTAGCCCAGACTGATGCATGTCTATGCACCACATGTGTGCCTGGCATCCACAAACGTCAGAAGAGGGCATTGGATCCCCTAGAACTGGAGTTACGGACAGTTGTGAGCTACTATGTGAGTGCTGGACACTAAACCCCAGGCCCCTGCAAGAGCAGTCAGTGTTCCAACTGCTGAGCCAGCTTTCTTGTTCCCCACAACCTTTTTTTTTTTTTTTTTTTTTTTTTTTTTTTTTGGTTTTTCGAGACAGGGTTTCTTTGTGTAGCTTTGGAGCCTATCCTGGCACTTGCTCTGGAGAGCAGGCTGGCCTCGAACTCACAGAGATCCGCCTGCCTCTGC